ACATAGAGAAAGCATTTTTGCAGATTGCCCTTGATAAAAATGATAGAAATTATTTGCGTCTAATATGGTTTGATGATATTTATAATATTAATAATAGTAATTTGTTTTCATCTGCATTGGCTACATATCGTATATGTAGAGTGCCTTTTGGTGTTACTTCATCTCCATTTCTCCTCAATGCCACATTAATTTATCATGCTGAGAGATATTGCCTTAATGATAATAATATTTCCTCAAAGTTGTTGCAATCCTTGCATATAGACGATTTGATTTCTAGCTGTGTTACCATTGAAGAAGGTATTTTATTTTTTAATAAATGTAAAGTCATATTAAAAGAAGGAGGTTTTAACTTAAGAAAGTTTGAGTCTAATTCTTCAGCCTTTGAGAAACAAATTAATGGTGACAATTATGAGAGACAAACGAATACAAGAGTTTTAGGCCTCAAATGGAATAAGAAAGAAGATTCAATAATTTATTCATTTGAGGATTTATTAAAGGTAGCCTCAATAGTTCCAACAAAGAGAGAAGTGATGAGTTTTATTGCCAGTATTTATGACCCAATAGGTCTTATTAATCCAGTAGTTGTAACTTGTAAAAATTTATTTCAAAGGATTTGTGTTTCTAAGTTAGGTTGGAATGAAAATTTGTATGGTGATTTATTGTCTACTTGGAATCTTATTTTAAGTGATTTCAAATCTGTTTTTCAAATAGCAGTACCTCGATGGTATATGAGTCCTGGGTTGGGTAATATAAATAATGTAAAATTTGAATTACATGGTTTTTCTGATGCAAGTGTTAAGTCGTTTGGGTGTTGTGTTTATCTTAGATTTTTTAATGCTAATTTTAGTCGTGCCTCTTTGATAGCCTCGAAGTCTAGGGTTGCCCCATTAGGCAAGAACACAATGCCTCGATTAGAGCTTTCTGCAACTTTACTTTTAGCAAAGCTATTAGCATCTATTTACGATCAATTGATATCTATTTATAACATTTCAAATATAATATATTGGACTGATTCAACAATTTGTTTGCATTGGATTTTTAATACTAATAATACCTATGAACAGTTTGTACAAAATCGTTTAAATAAAATAAGAGAATTGACTTTAATTTGTAATTGGAACTATATTGAATCCTTTAGGAATCCTGCAGATATAATATCACGAGGATCTTCGCTTAAGAAATTAAATAATAATGAACTTTGGTTTTATGGACCCAATTTTTTAAATGATATTAATATTAAATGGCCATATTATGAACATGTTAATCATTCAAATGAAACACTTGAAGTTTTGTGTAATGTGGTACATGTTAAGGTTAATGTTAATCTTGACTTTATTAATGTTGATAAATTTAGTGATTTTAGGTATTTACTTCGAGTAACATCGTGGATTCTTCGGTTTATCAATAATGTGAAAGATAAAAAGAAGAACATCTTCAAGACTGGTTTAATTACAGCTGAAGAAATAGATAATGCAAAGCGGTTGTGGATTAAATTTTCACAGATAAATCTAATCGATGAGAATAAATTTAAACAATTACGAAAAGATTTACGTTTATTTGTTAGCGATGGTATATATCGATGTCGTGGCAGAATTGAACATGCTGATTTAGAATATGATACAAAGTTTCCTATTTTTGTTTTCAATAACTGTTATTTTGCTAAATTATTAATTTTACATTTTCATAAGCTTGTCAAGCACAATGGTGTGAAAGAAACAATTAATGCTTTAAGATCCCAGTATTGGATACCTTGTTGTAGGCAGTTAGCAAAGAGCGTGATACGAGAATGTACAACTTGTCGACGTATAGAGGGTAGGCCTTATTCATACCCACCTGCTCCACCTTTGCCTGAAAGTCGTTTAAATTCTGATTTTGCCTTTAAAAGTATTGCTTTGGATTATGCTGGTCCGCTGTATATTAAAGATATTTATGGCGATTGTACGTTGAATAAAGCATGGATTTTCTTATTTACATGTTGCAGTAGTCGTTCGATTTTATTAGACTTAGTAGCTGACTGTTCATCCAGATCATGCATTATGGGTATCCGTAGATTTATTGGAAGACGGGGTGTTCCAGAAATTATTTATTCAGACAATGGTTCACAATTTGTTTCAACTGAAACTCAGTACTTTGCTGCAAACCATTCTATAAAATGGAAGTTTAATGCGCCTTCGGCACCGTGGTGGGGAGGGATGTTTGAGCGACTAGTACGAATGACTAAAAGATGTTTGAAGAAAGCCTTAAAGAATTCGAAGTCTTCTTATGAAGAAGTACGAACGTTGCTTTCTGAAATTGAAATGGTACTAAATAACCGACCATTAACTTATTTGTATAACAATCAAGGTGATGAAGCACTCACACCTAATCACTTAGTTTTTGGACATAAGCTTAAGCTTGAATCAAGTCTTAATGCTTGTAACGATATAGAACAAGATGTGCATATACGAAACAGTATGTTATCGAATACATTGAATCATTTTAGAAGTAGATTCAAAAGTGAGTACTTGACAGAGTTGCGTGAATATCATAAATCAAAGCGAAGTAATGGATGTAATGGTATTCGTGTTAATGACATTGTATTAATTGAAAATGATAACTGTAAAAGACAATTATGGAAATTAGCACGTGTTGAAGAATTGTTATATTCAAACGACGGAGTTGTTCGCGTTGCTAAAGTTTGTTACAAACAAGAGAATGGTAGTTCGTGTTAAATTACTCGACCCATTAATAAACTATATCCTACTGAATATTCAGACAATAAAAAAATAGTAACTGTTGCTTTTATTAACGAGAAGAATATTCCTTTACTTGTAAATGGTGGCCGGGAGTGTTGAAGCCTATTTGGCTTCCCGCGAATAATCTATTGGTTATAACTATTTCCCGCAGTGCATTGCGTCTTAAGCCATGCTCTCATGCTAGTTGTATATTATTATTGACCTTACTAACTTACAACTCTTCTTACTATTTAATATATTATTGAAACTCACATTGTAGTTATTTCTTAGTATTCAAATTATATAAAGTAAACCGTTGAGTAGATTTAAGTACTCAATAACATCCACTAATATGGATTTCGATCAATGATGGCTTAGCTGTTGTATTTTTTTTTTTTTTTCTATTTTTAAGCAATTTTCTTATATTTATAATGCACTATCGATTATATTCTGCTGTACCTAATAGTTTTTAATTTGAAAATGTAACTTTGTTTGAAAAATTATTCTTATTTTTTGTAAAGTTATTAATTTATTTGAAATATATCAAATTACACTTTATTTACATTGATTTCTTTTTATTACTTCCCTTGCCTAGATTAAGGCAAATCTAAGGTTTGTGTTGTAAATCATTGCATTTTTATATATGTTTTAAAAGAATGTCTTGGTAAAATTTAAACGTCTCTTGGACGTCTGAAAAAGACGTCCTTAAGTCTTTAAAATTAGATCCGCCAGAGATGTCTCTAGAACGTCAAAAAACGTCTCTAGGACGACTTAAAAAGACGTCTTTAGGACATCTGGAATAGACGTCCTCAAGCCTTTCATTTAAAACCAACTAAGGACGTCTTGCGGGCGAGACTTAAGACGTCTTACGGACGTTCTTAGGACGTCAAAATGCCCGCTGGGCTGTTGCTCATCAGTAAGTTACATTGGTAGGTTTTTATCAAATATAGTGGCTGTTGAAGTTCTAACTTGATATAATTTTTTAAAATTTATTAACTATTTATTTTGCATTTTACTATAAATTTTACAACATTTATATGCATACATTTACATAAAATAAAGAGACAGAGCAAGAAGAAGACATAATGTCTTATCACCAATTAATATCTTATCATTTTTATAGAATAGGTAACTTTCAAATTTAATACCAAAGTGAATATTGTTTCCAGTACTCACTTTAGTTCCAGAGTTCACATTAGTTTCCAGTATTTACATTACTTCATCTCAGCCTAACACTTGCAAAGTAATCAAAATGATATTGTATTTTTAAGAATACTCTAAAATGATTCAGATTTTCATGCTTCAATTTTTCCCCTAAGGAGTGCAGTGTCAAAAAATGCTATCTCTTGGCTCCTAAATCAAAGGTATTTGCTCATCCATCACTATGGTTGTTTTAATGTTGGAAGAAATAAGTATTTGGCTTTGGTTTTCTTGTGTTTATAAATAACTTGTGTTTTATCTTTATGTAGAATAATGCCAATTTTTTCAAATGTAGCTGATGTTAAAGATGATGAAAATGTTGTTAAATTTATTTCATCAATTACAAGTTGTTTCGAAATACTAGATATAGCAGAAATAATAGAATTGTGTGGCCCTGAATCATTAAGGTTTGAGTTCTGCTTACGACATATATTCTGCAAATTTGCTGTGACTTCTTTGTCTACTGATTCAACAGTCATTTTAGCACTATTATTTAAGAAGTGATGTTTAGTATACCTTGCTAATATTTTGCGCAAATAAACCATATGTCGCATCACAATTAGTACTGTTGGCAGTTTGACCTCAAAGAGTGGCTTTGATTACCCAAAATATAGTAACTTAAAATAACTTACTAACATTTAAAAATACGATTTAATCATAGCTCTATAATAGAATTTTCTGATTTAAAAAATTGCTTTTAAATGTGTTATAAAAATCTCAATAGTTTCTTTTAAAAAAAATATTATCTTTAGTCATAATACTGATGGATAAATTTAACTTGAATAACAGGTTATCACTTTGAATTTTATGTATTTAATTTTCAAATAATATTAATTTAAATTTTATAATTTTTAAAAATGTAAATTTACCCTATTATCAATAAGTAATATTTTTCAATTATTTCTGCATGGGGTAAATCTTAGTCAAATTTGTTAATCATAGTCTCATTTTTCAAGTTTTTTTATAAAATATAAAGTAACCAAAGAGAACAGTTGTAGATCAATAAAAAAATTGTTTTCACTCCACCCTAATGTTTAATTAACATAAAATTAATATATATATATATATATATTCTGATAAACTTACGTGTCTTATTCTGACCGTCATTGTCATTATTATTATCTTCTTCAAAACATTTTTCTTTAACATTTGTACCAATAACACATCTTTTGTTTGTGGTGTCACATCCTACATGTGTATAAAAAATATGAACTTATAAAAAAAAGGAGCCAAAATTACATTATTCTTGTTGTTAACTTTTATATATATATATATATATATATATATATATATATATATATATATATATATATATATATATATATATATATATATATATATATATATATATATATATATATATATATATATATATATATATATATATATATATTGTTATTTTTGGTTGTTTATTTACTTTTTTTCTAGTTTAGCATTTTTTTTTGGCAATTCTTAAAAGTATTATTTTTGTTATAAAGGCGATTTTTATTTGAATTTAAATTACTTTAAATCTCTGCGTGGAAGCCAAGCCTTTTGAATATTATTATATTTATAAAAATTTGAATATTATTATATATATAAAGGTCGTTAAAGCAAAAATTGAAAAGGGAAAAGACGTTTAAGTGAACTTATTCTTCATTCATTTTTTTTAACAAAAAAGCCTGGTTTTTATCTTTGTCTTTCAAAACGTTGCACCAAATCAACTTATTATTAATGATTTAAATTATTATTTTATCAACAATTTTATATCATTTTATATTATTAATTTTCCTACTTTAAGTATATTGAAATATATATTAAATCGTTTTTATTAATTTTTTTTCAAATACTTAATCAATGCTAATAGAAACCAGCAACTTTTTGCATCAATATTTTTAAGCCTATTCTTAAACTTTATGAAATATAATTCGATTTATTAAAACAATAAACAAAAAAAATTTTTTTTCCTAAATAATCTGAATAAAAAAGTTGAATGAAAACATCAATTTGAAAACCATTTGAATAAAAAACGTATTTATAATTAAATTTTTATATGTCTTAAATTTTTATAAGATCAAGAAACAATAAAATAAAAAAAAAAGTGGTCTCTAACATTGTTTCTTTAATCATACTCATTTGGTCTATAGATTGTATACTCGTATGGTCGGTTTATAGAAATGTTTTTGCGATTAAGTTTTATGAAGATAATTTTTTATTTTATTAAAAAGAACAAGGCCTTCTTAAACAGGCCGCGACAGCTCATTTTCCGTAAAATTAGCAAAGGCCGATTTTTTTACGGAGAAGTATAGTTTCAATGAGGATTTTGGTTGTTTGATTTAAACTATAATAGTTAAACTCGTAAAATGCCTAATAAATGCTGCGTTTATGGTTGCTCCTCAAATTACAAATCAAAAGTAAAAGATAATGTTAATGTCACAATGTATAGATTCCCCTTTAAATCCGGGGATCGCGAGTTATGGATTAAAAAACTTCCAAATGCAAACTTTGTGTTTACAGATTATAAGCAAATTTGTGCTCAGCACTGGCCTAAAGATGCAGAATTAAAAAGAGTCAAAGGTGGTAGTTTTGTTCCAGTGCATCCTCCATCAGTCTTTAAAGGTATACCAGTGTCTTGTATTCCAATAGTGTCTAGAAAACGAGATGTCACTGGGTTGATATGACTGGTTGTTATGCTCTGAAAGAAATATTTTACCTGATGAGTTCGAAAACTTCAAAAAAATGGACGTTATTCAATTTAATACATTTGTAAAAAATTTGAAGTCAATAATAAATTACTGTGAAGAAAAATTTTATTTTGTTGAAAAAGAAAAAAATACATCTTTAATATCATATGAACATTGTGGACCAGTACCTAAGTTTTCAATATATATAACTTTAGAAGATTCTGGAGATATTTATTTTACTGGATATAGCCAACTTTTACAAATTAAACTGTCTTTTTTAAACAAAGGAGTTATTAAATATTATTCTTAACTGGAGAATGCTGTTAGTTATGTTATTAATAATGAAACATATTCTAAGTGAGCAAGTTATATTAGGCAAGTAGCTTTATTAAATAAAACAAACAATACACCATTAGCACTAATGCTCCTTTGTCTTTTAGGTGGCCCATGACTTTTTATAAAAGATTATCCAGTTTGTAAAGTTACAACAAATTTTCAAACAAGCGTGATAGAAGAATTAAATCAACAAATCATAATTGCAGGTGGAAAGCCTCTTGGTTAATAATGGATTACTATCGAGTAAACCAAAAAACATTTCAATATTTTAATGCAAAAAAAGTTCCAGCATACTATCTTTTAAATGACACTGTGCATATTTTAAAATGTATTCGAAATAATTGGTTCACTGAAAAATTACAATGTTTAAAATATAGATTGCTAAATGATAACGATACTGTGCAACTTGCAGAATGGAAATTTATAATTCAACTTCATGCTGCAGATAGTCGAATAGTTAAGTTGTCACCCTTAACACAAAAAGCTGTGTCACCAAAACCAATTGAACGACAAAATGTTGGATTAGTTCTTAAAGTTTTTTGTGATGAAACAGTTGCAGCAACACGTGTGAAATTTCCTGAAGCTGAAGATACTGCACTTTTATTGAAACAGTTGTTAAGAGATGGCTTATTGTCAACAGTAAAGCAAACGGTCTAGATATTAGATTAAATGATATTCGAAGAAAGCCTATTTCTTCAGTTAATGATTGGCAAATAGATTTCTTAGAGAACTATATTTCGTATTTTGCTGAAAATTTGAAATGCGTAAATTCAAAATTAAGAGAGAAAAAGTTAACAATGGATACTGCAAGTGCTTTGCAAAAAACTTCTAAAAGATTAGCAAGCTGTGCCAAGTATTTGTTGAATTGTGGTGTATCTTATGTATTGTTAGGACATATGCAATCAGATGCACTAGAAAAACAGTTTAGGAAATATCGGCAAGGGAAAGGTGGCACATATCTGATAACTGTGCAAAATGTTATTCAAAAATTTAGAATCGACAAAACTAGAAAGTTGCTAGACAAGCATACAGATTTTACAATATTTCTTCCTGCTCACCACCACAGTGATAAGTGTGAACTTGATGTGGAGTTTATTATGTCAATATGTGAAAATTGTGAGGATTAGTTGCCAAATGAATGCAAACAAGGACTTTTATATGTTGCAGGTTTTATTGCTTACAAACTTCCAGAATTACATTTAATTTTAGAAGAAACAGACAGCTTTGATATTTTCAAAAATATGGAACTTTGATCAGTTCTTTGAATAGGGGAAGACTAAGAGAACCTTCTGACAATTTAGTCTACTTTGTTTTTTAATGTTTTTTTATATTTGAAGTGACACTTGTGAATAAAGTTTCACCATTGCTGTGCAAGAAAAGGATTAATTGACATTTTTATTAACTGCAATAGTAAATTTCAATTGCTTGTTCAAAGTGTTAAAAAAGTTTGCTGCATTTTGGCAAACATTTTTTTAAACAATTATTGTAAAAAACACTCTGAAGATTTTGTGAAGGAATGTTTAATAAAACAAGCAAAACTTTTAACTTCAAAATAAAATACTTTGAGTCAAAAAAGTCAAAATAATATTAATAAAATAAAGTTAATATATTTGTTTGTTTTTATCAAAAAATTTATTATTTGTATTACAAGTAAAATAAACATATAGTTATAAAAACGAGATTTAGTCATTTTTAGCTAAACTCCTTAAATTTTTATTGTAATTAACTTATTTCTAAACGTAAAAAATATTCCTACAATATTTGCTTTCGAAATTCAATCAAAATGTTTTGTCCTAATAAAGCTTTTTATTTTTTTCTGAAGTTTGTTAACAAAAGCAAAGATAAAAAATAATTTTAACCGAAAAAAAGTCGGCCTTCG